AATTTAAAAAAGTCTTTTTCAAAACTGTTGGTTGCTGTCTTTCTAAGTTCAGTATTTTTTCTAATATATGGTTCCATCCAAGGAGACTGGTAAAATGATATTCCTCTATGTACAACAGTAATCTTCATACCCAACTCAAGACATTGCCTAAGAGTTCTATAATGTACAACATAATTTTTTCTAGGTTTGAAATGACAAATTAATTTTTCAACTCCATTAACTTTCATTAACTCAGGTGCTAGAGGATAATCATTATGTGAATCCCATAAGTGATTTGGATACTCCAAATCAACTTCAAATATATAACCCTTCTTACCAGTATTTGACATACTATTATTTGCTTTTTCTAAAATTTCCATTACCTGTTCTTTTGTAATATTGGACATCCATTTAAATCCATGAGTTGGAAGACTTTGAGACATTGCCCAACCGTAAAGATTGTTTGCATCTAAATATTGAATAAATGTTGACTTCTTTTCAGGATTATAATTTTTCATATATTTATTATTTGCTTCTGCATATCTTTTTGAAATATGTGTTATTCCACCACGAATACTACGCTCAAACATCATTAACATATCATAGTCATGTAATAACTGTAAATGCTGACCTGTAGTTTTGAGACATGCATCCCAAGCCAACCCTGGAGATGTGTAGTAATGAGCTGGATCTAGCTTGTAATGTTTAAGACAAGTTGCTCTAAAATTTTCAAATACATCTGCTAATATTAGAACATCAGACTTGAGATATAAATCATGATAATCTTTAATTGTTTTACATCCAAATGTATTTCAGACTTTAATTGCATGTTGGTAATCTTCATCTGATATATCTTCATCATTAAGTTTTGAATAAAATTCATCTTTTGGTGGTAAACATGTTTCTGATAATTTATCAAGTGATGAAACATAATCATAAGGATAAACTCCTTTTCTAGTAAGTAGTGATATATTTTTCTTAAATTCTTTTTTTGTATTATGAAAGTCATCTTGTGATAAATTTGAAACAAGATTTGCAAGTGATGTTTGAAGAAACTTAAATGAATCTAAAAATCTGATTTCAAAATTTATTGGTAAAACATCACCACTAATATGTTTAAATTCTCCAACTTTAATAACTTTAGAAAATGAAATGTATTTTTCTTCCGTAGATGGAATACAATCAAGTTTACCATCTATTTTAGCAAGTTGTTTTATAAACAAATGAGCATCATAACCCTGAAGATTATGAAATATAACTGGTAGTATTCTTGGTTTTTTACACATAAGATTACATTTGTTATGTGCTGCTCCACGGTACTCACCTGTAAAATGACAATGATCTCTAACTCTATCATCCCCCAATTCGCAACTACAAATATGACAATTAACCGATTCATTAAATTCTTTTTGTGTTTTTGAATTCATTACTAGAGGTTTTGGTCTACGATAAAAATCTTCATAAATTCCTTTAGTCAATTCTGTAAGTTTTTCTACAAATACTTTTGCTACATCTTCATCCTCTGAAGTTTTTGTATAAATAATTGGTTTAATTCTTTTACCAGCAATTCCCTTTGCATAAAAACAAAATCCTGATGGTTCATGTTTTTGGTAGTTATAATTGTAAGAATCTTTAGGATCAGGACTACAACTATTCATTGGTTTAGTAAAACATTCAAAATCTGCATAGACAACAAAAGGAATAGGAAGTTGTCTATCATAATTTTTAAAATGTAAAGATGTTTTTGGTTTTGGCATTTTTACAAATGCTGTTTTATTACTAGAACAATATTTGATGTGTTTATCTAATAATTCTGTTTTTGTAAAATGACAAAAACATCTCTTACAAATTTGTATTGGTTCATCTGTTCTTGAAGTAATTTGACTACGTATAAGTCGGGAAAAGTTTTTAATTAGTGAATAATGAAATTTACCATCTTCTTCATACAAAAATAAATCAATAGTATTTTTACAATCTTTCTCAGCCATTCTCAAAGGATAAATAGTCATACCATCATTTGAAAAAACATCTATTCCTGAAAGATCTGGATTAAGATTCTCAAATTTGGTAATGTCTTTTACTTTCATTGGAAAAGTAATTCCTTTAGTGTTAAGTGAAAATTCATACTTTTTTAAATCTGACAAACGACTATCATTCTTTTCTCTTGGATGAAGATAACGAAGTACTGACCAAAGAAAACATTTATCATCTTTATTTCGAATACTAACAATTGCTTTTTTTCTCATAATCCAATCTGGAAGAGGAATATAAGAAGAACCTTTCATTGGTTTAAATTCAGTTGTATGAATTTCTAGTTGTACAATTTCTTTAAAGTACCACCCACTACCATTTTCTTGATACGTAGATATACTTTCANCAAAGGATAAATAGTCATACCATCATTTGAAAAAACATCTATTCCTGAAAGATCTGGATTAAGATTCTCAAATTTGGTAATGTCTTTTACTTTCATTGGAAAAGTAATTCCTTTAGTGTTAAGTGAAAATTCATACTTTTTTAAATCTGACAAACGACTATCATTCTTTTCTCTTGGATGAAGATAACGAAGTATTGACCAAATAAAACATTTATCATCTTTATTTCGAATACTAACAATTGCTTTTTTTCTCATAATAAAATCTGGAAGAGGAATATAAGAAGAACCTTTTATTGGATTAAATTTAGTAGTATGAATTTCTAGTTGTTCAATTTTTTTAAAGTACCACCCACTACCATTTTTTTGATACGTAGATATACTTTCAGTAATTTCTTTATAACTTTTACTAAGTAAATCTTTTACATCGGTTGATTTAAAATTATTAAATGTATTAGAATTAAAATACGATCTATCTTGAACTTTATTAGTTATTTTACTATCAGCTGATAATTTTTCTTTTTTTTCCATGATAGTATCTAAAACAAACCTTACTTTAGTATTTCGATGATTTCTAAGAAAATCTTTAATAACATGTTTTTTGTTTCTAAAGAACTGCTCAGGTAAAATACCTGATTTTCCTTTGATAATATATTTTTTAGCAAATTCATCTAAAGCTGATTTCTCAATTTCAATTCCTTGGTCATATTCTTTTATAGCTCTCTCAAGAGCTTTTCGTAAATAGGAAGGAGTATCTTTAGGAATTTTTTTATTTTTTATACATTCCTCAAAATAATCTTCAAATGTTTTTATCTTTTTGGAATGTGTTTTTGTAACAACTTGGGGTTTCTTTTTTATCTTTTTGGAAGTTGGTGATGAAACAACTTGGGGTTTCTTTTTAGAATGTGGTTTTGAAACAACTTTTCCTTTTTTAACTTTTTCTCTAAATTCTGTCAATTTTCTATATTTTTCAATCAATTTTCTCTTTTTTTCTAATTCCTTATAATCTTTCTTAAGACCTTTTTTTTCTTGTGATACAATTTTTTTTAATTCATCCAAAGACAAATTCTGAAGTTGTTTATCGGTAAAGATTTGATTAGACATGACTTACTATATTATTATTTATATTTTTTTTCTTTAAATCAAATTTTATTTTCTGATTCAATATCACTATTTATTATACAGTAGTTAGTAAATGCTGACATCCCACTCACTCACTTTATAAATTTTTTCTGGATCTTCGAGCAATTTGAGCGACTACTTGTGAACGATTGAAGCAATTCGAATGAGTTGAACGAACTGAATGAACTGAATGAAATGAGTGAGAGAAGCGAACGAATTGAATGAAGTGAATGAAGTGAGTTTAACGAATGAGTTTTGCGAAATGAGTGAACAAGAGAGCGATATTGCGAGATGATTCAGAAAAAAAATTTATAAAGTGAGTGAGTGGGATGGCAGCATTTACTAACTACTTTTAATAAATAACTCTCGAGTTGAAAATATTTCACGAGCACGAGCAGCGAACGAGTGAAATATTTTCCAACACTTGAAGAGAAATTTCGTATCTCCGCGAGGCCATGAAATATCCTCTATGTATAGCTATGGTTGCATGGTGTGTGAACACGTTTGTGAACTCCTCACTCATCGAAAATCCCAACAAAATCGGAATGGAAAAGTTGCTATTATACAAAAGCTAAACTGACAGGAAGACCACTGACACGAAAAAAAAAGGTTCTACGTTTAGATGGAAAAGGCAATCTTGGGCAAAAACCTTAAAAAAAACTTTGCAATAATTCACTCTCTTTCATTGCCTCTCCCTGTTTCAGCCAAGTAACTGAGAAATCACAACTCAACACTGTAGAAGGAAGTGTGGTGATCCAAGGATTTTTGAGGAGGAGAGCAGTACCCGGTGTTGAAGGAAGGCTTTAGTGTATTCAATACAAAATAGTGGCTATTGTACAAGGATTTCGTGTGAGCAAAGAAGCCACCTTTCTATTTTGAACTGTTATTTCACAAAACCAACAAAGAGTCTATGCTGTCTATTCAAGGCAAAACAAAACTGTTTAACCATAATTATCCTCATTGGAAAAGGGTAATCTTAGTCTAACATTAATCTAGTTGTACCTCTTGCTTTTCCGAAGGCAGTTTTACATTTGGGGGATTTAACAAATCTGCATTAGGGTCCAGGTTTTTCTGTTGATAGAGAAAGACATGATCTGATCAAGGAAACAAATAAACACAACGTCTCTGCCCACAAACAACAATAACAACAAAAAACAAGAAAGAAAAAGGGTAACGGATCAAATCCACCATACAGGCCTTATTGGTAAAAAATGTGGGAATTTCATGTTTAAAACGTTATTTCTTTGGATCAGCTTATGATTCTGTCCATCTTTCCACCTGTCCTACCCCTCCCCTAACCTAACATTTTGCTCCAAAGCAAAGCAATAGGATAAGTTAGTTAGGCTACTAAGTTGGGTAAGAAGAGGGGTAGGTAGGTAGTTTCCAACAAACTTATACTGATCCGTAACGCAAAACGGTATACTAAGGGACAAGAGTAGGAGATCTCCTTTTGCTTCACTTTGACAAATGCAACCATGTCACGCATTTATTAGTTAAAAATACAAGGAAAAAAGAGGATGATCTGAACGGTCTTGCATGGTACCACAACTGAGGAAACCCGACGGGTTAAAACAATTGCTGGTTTGCAAGTGACGTCATGGCAGCCATGTTAATGCTGGTCAAGAACAAAAACATTTGTGTCCTCTGGGAACTATACACTCCATTTTCATGTAAATTCTTTAAATATATTGATTAAAATCACATCCTGATAATAATTTATTTTCAGTGGGCTGACATATTTTAATTTCATTCATGAAAAAATTCCTTCACCTATTAATCAGTTAACTTTGCTTTACAGTTAAATTTTAAGATCCTTGATAAAACGTCTTTCAGACAGCTTACAACAAAAGTAGTTTTCTTTGTAAGAAAAGAATAATTCTCAGTATCATTTTTAGTTTATTTTTTCACACCCTCTTTTGACAGTTATTGACAAATATTTTTTTCATGTGTGTGGATGCTTTTATTAATCGTGTTGTTAAATGGTGTTGTTACACTTGCATCAATACATACTGGTATAAACTTGGGCCACTC